CATCATGTGACCAGAGTGACAGCCAATCACAGTGGCCGCCTGATCAGACATTCCTTCACACTTCCTGGACATTCAGACTCAGATAAAAGGACTCCGGGACTCTCTTCTATCTATGGTGTCACATCCGGTCCCTGCAGGGTCTTCTCCCCCAGACTGAGGTCCTCTGACCTCCTCCAGACCAATGCAGGGTTCATAGCCCTGCACTGGATGTGGTGATGCAGAGGGACAGTCCACCGCCGGAGTATGGGGGAGCACCACACCAGGGAAGTAAAGTGTTTGTACTCTCCCCCGGAATAAATGGTTACCCTGCAGTGCGGGTTCAGGTACCCGGGGAGGAAATGACTGATCCCTGATAGACCCACAGATAGAAAGATCCATCCATTCACCGGCCACAGGGGGCGCTCCGAGCTCAGCCACACCTCATCTCCTCAGTCTATGGGGTGTAATATCATTCTACCCTGCAGACTGAGGACTGACACCAACCATGGGGCACTATTCCCCCCACCCACTGACACCAATGATGGGGCACTATTCCCCCCACTGACACCAATGATGGGGCACTATTCCCCCCACTGACACCAATGATGGGGCACTATTCCCCCCACTGACACCAATGATGGGGCACTATTCCCCCCACTGACACCAATGATGGGGCACTATTCCTCCCACTGACACCAATGATGGGGCACTATTCCTCCCACTGACACCAATGATGGGGCACTATTCCCCCCACTGACACCAATGATGGGGCACTATTCCTCCCACTGACACCAATGATGGGGCACTATTCCTCCCACTGACACCAATGATGGGGCACTATTCCTCCCACTGACACCAATGATGGGGCACTATTCCCCCCACTGACACCAATGATGGGGCACTATTCCTCCCACTGACACCAATGATGGGGCACTATTCCTCCCACTGACACCAATGATGGGGCACTATTCCTCCCACTGACACCAATGATGGGGGCACTATTCCTCCCACTGATACCAATGATGGGGCACTATTCCTCCCACTGACACCAATGATGGGGCACTATTCCTCCACACTGACACCAATGATGGGGCACTATTCCTCCCACTGACACCAATGATGGGGCACTATTCCCCCCACTGACACCAATGATGGGGCACTATTCCTCCCACTGACACCAATGATGGGGCACTATTCCTCCCACTGACACCAATGATGGGGCACTATTCCTCCCACTGACACCAATGATGGGGCACTATTCCTCCCACTGACACCAATGATGGGGCACTATTCCTCCCACTGACACCAATGATGGGGCACTATTCCTCCCACTGATACCAATGATGGGGCACTATTCCTCCCACTGACACCAATGATGGGGCACTATTCCTCCCACTGATACCAATGATGGGGCACTATTCCTCCCACTGACACCAATAATGGGGCACTATTCCTCCCACTGACACCAATGATGGGACACTATTCCTCCCACTGACACCAATGATGGGGCACTATTCCTCCCACTGACACCAATGATGGGGCACTATTCCTCCCACTGACACCAATGATGGGGCACTATTCCCCCCCACTGACACCAATGATGGGGCACTATTCCCCTTACTGACACCAATGATGGGGCACTATTCCTCCCACTGACACCAATGATGGGGCACTATTCCTCCCACTGACACCAATGATGGGGCACTATTCCTCCCACTGACACCAATGATGGGGCACTATTCCTCCCACTGACACCAATGATGGGGCACTATTTCTCCCACTGACACCAATGATGGGGCACTATTCCCCCCACTGACACCAATGATGGGGCACTATTCCTCCCACTGATACCAATGATGGGGCACTATTCCTCCCACTGACACCAATGATGGGGCACTATTCCCCCCACTGACACCAATGATGGGGCACTATTCCTCCCACTGACACCAATGATGGGGCACTATTCCTCCCACTGACACCAATGATGGGGCACTATTCCTCCCACTGACACCAATGATGGGGCACTATTCCTCCCACTGACACCAATGATGGGGCACTATTCCTCCCACTGACACCAATGATGGGGCAGTATTCCTCCCACTGACACCAATGATGGGGCACTATTCCTCCCACTGACACCAATGATGGGGCAGTATTCCTCCCACTGACACCAATGATGGGGCAGTATTCCTCCCACTGACACCAATGATGGGGCACTGGGGTTTAGGCAGATTGGGGTATTTAGAGGTAGAAGGGGACTGATCTCTGGAGGGGGATGTATTCCAAGATCTGGACCAACATTAACCCTTTGTTTGAGGTCAGATTTCAGATTTCTCACCTTCGCTGCGGATGATCTGGATTCTTCACATAACAAATAGTTGAGAAGGCTGGAAGTGAGTGGAGGTCGGGGAGATCTGCGGTGGGGTGTGATTGGAGGTCGGGGAGATCTGCGGCGGGGGTGTGAGTGGAGGTCGGGGAGATCTGCGGCGGGGTGTGAGTGGAGGTCGGGGAGATCTGCGGCGGGGTGTGAGTGGAGGTCGGGGAGATCTGCGGTGGGGTGTGATTGGAGGTCGGGGAGATCTGCGGCGGGGGAGGTGTGAGTGGAGGTCGGGGAGATCTGCGGTGGGGTGTGATTGGAGGTCGGGGAGATCTGCGGCGGGGTGTGAGTGGAGGTCGGGGGAGATCTGCGGTGGGGTGTGTGATTGGAGGTCGGGGAGATCTGCGGCGGGGTGTGATTGGAGGTCGGGGAGATCTGCGGTGGGGTGTGATTGGAGGTCGGGGAGATCTGCGGTGGGGTGTGATTGGAGGTCGGGGTATATCTGTGCCGGGACGGCGATCAATCATTAATCGGACAGTAAATACGATATTACAGAGAATTCCACTTTCTGGGGAAAACAGCAGCAAATATTAAACACGGAGCGTTCATCGCTGCAACACAGTCATACTGAAGGTCATTGGCCCCGTCAGTGCCGCCCCCCCATCAGTGCCGCCCCCCCCCCCGTCAGTGCCGGACCCCCAGCCCGCGATCAGGGAGGTGGGGAGGGGGGCACATATCAGGGAGGTGGGGAGGGGGGCACATATCAGGGAGGTGGGGAGGGGGGCACATATCAGGGAGGGGGGGCACATATCAGGGAGATGGGGAGGGGGGCACATATCAGGGAGGGGGGGGGGGACATATCAGGGAGATGGGGAGGGGGGCACATATCAGGGAGGGGGGGGGCACATATCAGGGAGATGGGGAGGGGGGCACATATCAGGGAGGGGGGGCAGTTTGGCATGCTCACCTACATATCTTTTCCTAGGAATACAAATATTGGCCCCGGACTCCACATTGCACAATGTTTTGTTACTTTTGCTGAATGGATTCCAGAGATAATAATGACACAATTCTGCTCGTCCTCCAATGTGGGATGAGAACTCCTTCCAATTCCATCACTGACCCCTGAAGGTGGAAGTCACAGCGAACCCCCCCATATAGTGTATACATACAGTGCAGGAAATGTGTATTTGCCCCCCCTGATGGTAAATGTTCCCCCCTCACACAGAAATGATCGGTCTAACAATGGAATGTTCGCCCCTCACACAGAAATGATCGGTCTAACAATGGAATGTTCGCCCCTCACACAGAAATGATCGGTCTAACAATGGAATGTTCGCCCCTCACACACAGAAATGATCGGTCTAACAATGGAATGTTCGCCCCTCACACAGAAATGATCGGTCTAACAATGGAATGTTCGGTGTAACACTAAGAGACAGAATACAACAACAAATTCAGCAGAAATGCGTCTAACACGTGAGGATCTTGTCAATGATCTCCAGGCAGCTGGGACCACAGTCACCAAGAAAACAATTGGTAACACACTACGCCGACAAGGACTGAAATCCTGCAGTGCCCGCACGGTCCCTCTGCTCAAGAAAGCCCATGTCCAGCCCGTCTGAAGTCTGCCACTGAACATCTGAATGATGCCGAGGAGGACTGGTGGGAAGTGTTGTGGTCAGAGGAGACCAAAATCCAGCTCTTTGGCATCAACTCAACTCGCAGTGTTTGGAGGAGGAGGAATGCTGCCTATGTCCCCAAGAACACCATCCCAACTGTGAAACATGGTGGTGAAAACATTCTGCTTTGGGGGGGGGGTTTCTGCTAAGGGACAGGACAACTGCACCGCATCAAAGGGACGATGGATGGGGCAATGTACCCTCAACTCTTGGGTGAGAAACCTTCTTCCCTCAGCCAGGGCATTGTAAAATGGGTGGTTGGATGGGTGTTCCAGCATGACAATGACCCAAAACACACGGCCAAGGCAACAAAGGAGCGGCTCAAGAAGAAGCACATTAAGGTCCTGGAGTGGCCTAGCCAGTCTCCACACCTTCATCCGATTGAAAATCTGTGGAGGAGCTGAAAGTTCGAGTTTGCCAAACGTCAGCCACCAAACCTTAATGACTTGGAGAGGATCTGCCAAGAGGAGTGGGCCAAAATCCCTCCTGAGATGTGTGCGAACCTGGGGGCCAACTCCAGGAAACGTCATGACCTCTGTGATTGCCAACAAGGGATTGGCCACCAAGTACTAAGTCATGTTTTGTGAAGGGGATCCAATCCTTCTTTCCCTCATGAACATGCAGATCCGTCATCATTTGTTAGACGCATTTCTGCTGAATTTGTTGTTGTATTCTGTCTCTCAGTGTTACACCGAACATTCCATTGTTAGACCGATCATTTCTGTGTGAGGGGCGAACATTCCATTGTTATAGAAACCGATCATTTCTGTGTGAGGGGCGAACATTCCATTGTTTCAGACCGATCATTTCTGTGTGAGGGGGCGAACATTCCATTGTTAGACGATCATTTCTGTGTGAGGCCGGCGAACATTCCATTGTTAGACCGATCATTTCTGTGTGAGGGGCGAACATTCCATTGTTAGACCGATCATTTCTGTGTGAGGGGCGAACATTCCATTGTTAGACCGATCATTTCTTGTGTGAGGGGCGAACATTCAGCATCAGGGGGGCAAATACACATTTTCTTCACTGTATATACACTATATGGCCCAAAGTATTGCCCCCCCCCCCCCCATATCATGTGATTCAGATGTTCCAATCCCCTCCATAATCCCCCCCATGTGATTCAGGTGTTCCAATCCCCTCCATATCATGTGATTCAGGTGTTTCCAATCCCTCCATATCATGTGATTCAGGTGTTCCAATCCCCTCCATATCATGTGATTCAGGTGTTCCCAATCCCCTCCATATCATGTGATTCAGATGTTTCAATCCCCACTCCATATCATGTGATTCAGGTGTTCCAATCCCCTCCATATCATGTTGATTCAGGTGTTCCAATCCCCTCCATATCATGTGATTTCAGATGTTTCAATCCCCTCCATATCATGTGATTCATCGTGTTCCAATCCCCTCCATATCATGTGATTCAGGTGTTTCCAATCCCCTCCATGGACACAGGTGTATACAATCAGCCCCTAGGCATGCAGACGGCTTCTACAAACATTGGTGAAAGAATGGGTCGCTCTCAGGAGCTCAGTGACTCCAAGCGTGGTCCCGTGATAGGTGGCCACCTGGGCAATAAATCCATCCGTGACATTTCCTGGCTACTAAATATTCCACGCTCAACTGTTAGTGGGATTATAACAAAGTGGAAGCCACTGGGAACAACAGCCACTCAGCCACCAAGTGGTAGGCCACGTCACATGACAGGGCGGGGTCAGCGCATGCTGAAGCGCACAGTGCGCAGAAGTCGCCAACTGTCTGCAGAGTCAACAGCTAAAGACCTCCAAACTTGGTGTGGCCTTCAGATGAGCCCAACAACAGTGCGTAGAGAGCTTCATGGAATGGGTTTCCATGGCCGAGCAGCTGCATCCAAGCCTTCCATCACCAAGTGCAATGCAAAGTGTCGGATGCCGTGGTGTAAAGCACGCTGCCCACTGGACTCTAGAGCAGAGGAGGCGTGTTTCTCTGGAAGGACGAATCCCGCTTCTCTGTCTGGCAATCCGATGGACATGTCTGGTTTTGGCCGCTGCCAGGAGAACGGTACTTGCCTGACTGCATTGTGCCACGTGTAAAGCTTGGTGGAGGGGGGATTATGGTGTGGGGGTGTTTTTCAGGGGTTGGGCTTGGCCCCCTAGTTCCAGTGAAGGGAACTCTTAAAGACATCAGGTTGGGGGATGGCCCCTTCTTGTTCCAACATGACTGCCCACCAGTGCACAAAGCAAGGTCCATAAAGACATGGAGGAGCCAGTTTGGGGTGGAGGAACTTGACTGTCCTGCACAGAGTCCTGACCTCAACCCCATAGAACACCTTTGGGATGAATTAGAGCGGAGACTGCGAGCCAGGCCTCCTCCCCCGACATCAGTGCCCCTCCCCAAACATCAGTGCCCCCTCCCCCGACATCAGTGCCTGAACCTGACAAATGTGCTTCTTCCATCAAAGACACAGTCTTACATTTCCAGTTCATGACTGACCATGGAAGTCCAACAAGAGCATTATAACAATATTCAGCCATCATGACCACCCACCTAATACTGAGTCGTGGAATACTGGACCCCACTAAGCCCTCTGAAGGTATGCTGTAGGACCAAGTAGTAGATCCTTTAAGTCCTGTCAGTTGGGGGGTGGGGTGGCCTCCATGGATTGGACTTGTTTTTTCAGCACATCCTACAGATGCTTGTTTGGAGTGAGATCTGCAAAATTTGGAGGCCAAGTCACCAACTCAAACTCATTGTGTTCCTCAATCCATTCTTGAATTCCTTAGACCAGGCCACCTTCTTTTTTTTTTTAATCTTTTTATTGGTGTTTTCAGAAGTAAGGTTACAAAACAGAGTCTCTGGGCTCAACACAACACAATTAAAGCAGAGCTCCACCCCAAAAGGGGACGTTTTGCTTTAAGGATTGGTCCCCCGCTCCCTGTTAAGGATTGGCACCTTTGGGGAGCGGGTACCTGTCATTTTTCCAGGGAGGAGTCCAAACCATCAGCTATTGTGTGTAACATCTCCACCCCAAACTGTGAGTGGAAAGCATGACGAAGTTGGAGGAACCTGAAGAAATGGGTATTGGGGAGATCAGGCTGAATTTTTAATTGGTCAAAGGTAACTATAGAACCCGTCTCACATATAATCACTTAGCTACCTAATGCCCTTGGAGGCCGAGGGATCAGGGAGGGTCTCTAATCCTGGCAGTGCATGCTCATGTCCCGCCATACAGGAGGTTATGTAATGTTTCGTAAGATCCCATGTGAGCTGCTTCTAAAACCACTGCTGAGCTGGAATCATCTGAAACAAGCCAGCTTTGGGTGAGAAGGTGGCGGCCAAATATTATGTATAAGGATCAGAGGACGCCAAGCCACCTTGAGTCCACCTTGAGTCCGTGGCCTGCAAAGCATTCATCCAATAAATCTAGGTGGGCACGACTGCCACAAAAATGTACCAAGGAGAGAGTCCAATGGAGCAAACAAGGTCTTGGGTGTCCATATAGGGGATGTTAGAGTACAGGGAGCACCTTCATTTTGACCTACCTATAAGGGATAGAGGAGACCACTCCAGGCCTTCAACCTCTGTCTACTGACTTGCATTACCGCGTATAAATGAAGATGACAGTATTCACGGACATTAGAGGACAGCATGAGGCATTTGAGAGACCCAGATCAATGGAGAATTTGGATCTGTCACTCCCCGGGCCCCCAGATCTATAGGAAGGATCTGAGATTTCTCCCAACTGGTACGGAGACCAGAAAAGTAATGCCCGTAGCGAAAAAAGGAAAGGAAAATTAGCGCAGGGCAGGCATGACTAGGCCTAGAGTGGGAAGGAGAATAAGAAAGGGTTAATGATGTGCCAGGGGGGTGTGGAAAAGTATAGATGGGTGTGCTGGTTGGTGGAGAGAGAGCGTGGGTGGGCTCTGCCGCACCTTAGGGTGGGGTGTCCCGGGGGGGGGAGGCATCATTTCGGACCTGGACGTTGGTGAGTGAGATTCCCTCCCGCCCTCCCTATTATAGGGAGTTTTGTGTTCCTCTCGGGGGACAGGGGGTTGTTTCGGTCTTGGGCGGTTGTTGGTCTTGGAGGCGGTTCTTATCTTGGAGGTACAGATAATGGTGTGGGACCCATCGTTGGTATGGGGGGCCCGGGGACATTCCAGTTAACCAAGGTTTAGCTGGAAGGTGGTGGTGCTGCACTGCGGACGGGATGGTTGTCTCCGAGCTGGTTGGTTGCGGCTGGAGGCCTTGTGTAATATGGTTGTCCGCAGGTGCATTTCAGATCATTTTTGTGGGGGGCCTTCGAAGACCAACAACAACAACTCTGTATGTTTCTGTTATAAGGAATGGTTGGTGTTAAAAAATGTTTGTTAATAAAAGGCCATGTTGGCCATTTACTCCAAAATTGGTGTCATGGTTTTTATTTAAGTATAGTAAGGGGGGAATTTGGATGACCTATCTCTGGTGCTCTAGTCATAGCAGCGAAGGAGGTCAAGATATCAAGGGCTGCAGGGAGCGACGCACCCGGATCCTGCAAGAACAGCGATGGATTATCTGCATACAATGCCGGCTTCTCAGTAATAGTTCCCTCCTTGATACCTCTAATTGACTCAGTGCCACAGCCAATGGTTCCATTGCCAGTGCAAACAGGGAAGGGGAGAGCGGGCAGCCCTGCCTCGGGCCTCGCTTGATGGAAAAGGGCGAGGAGAATAATCCCCCGAATTTAATACAAGCTGTAGGTGTTTTGTATAACAGTTTCAACCAGTTTCAGAAGGTAGGACCAAATCCAAAAGTGTCTAGAACAGCATCCAGGTATTGCCAACGTACTGAATCAAAGGCTCTTTCTATGTCCAGCGCCACCAAGACTCTGGTTGTGGAGTCCATTGACGGGAGCTGGAGGTGAGTGAGGACTCTCCGAAGATTTATGTCAGTGGATCTGCCTGGCATAAACCCCGTCTGATCTACATCAATTAAGGGGGGAAGGATTTTCATCACCCTCACATCACATTTGGAGAAGAGTGTTCTTTGTACGACTCCCCTGGAAGGAAATCCGGCTCTGGTGTTGTATTATTAGGGTAGGAGTTAATAGCTGCCTCAATTTCAGGTGGCATCAGAGGGGCCTCTAGACTTTCCCTGTCCTCTGGGGAAAGGACAAGTATGGAGAGAATCGCCAGTGTCGTGAAAAGCAGGTGCGAGGCAACAGTTGGAGGTTGGTCATAAAGATTGCCATAGTACTACTCAAATTCATTGAGAATGTCCATGGGAGAGGTCAGTATTGCACCAGTAGCAGTCTGCAGCTTTGGCGCTACTGTTTGCTCGTTCCTCCAACCTTTGAGCCTGGGAGGCACGGTCAGCGCATTCTTTCTTCTTCTTCCTCTTCTCCTTCTCCTCCTTCTCCTTCTCCTCCTCCTCCTTCTCCTCCTCCTTCTCATTCTCCTCCTTCACCTTCTCCTCCTTCACCTTCTCCTCCTTCACCTTCTCCTCCTTTTCCTTCTCCTCCTTCTCCTTCTCCTCCTCCTTCACCTTCTCTTTCTCCTTCACCTTCTCCTTCTCCTCCTCCTCCTCTTTCTCCTTCTCCTCCTTCACCTTCTCCTCCTCCTCCTCCTCCTTCTCATTCTCCTTCTCCTCCTTCTCCTTCTCCTCCTCCTTCACCTTCTCCTCCTCCTTCTCCTTCTCCTCCTTCACCTTCTCCTCCTTCACCTTCTCCTCCTTCACCTTCTCATTCTCCTGCTCCTCCTTCACCTTCTCCTCCTCCTCCTTTACCTTCCTCCTCCTCCTCCTCCTCCTTCTCATTCTCCTCCTCCTCCTTCTCATTCTCCTTCTCCTCCTCCTCCTTCTCCTCCTTCACCTTCTCCTCCTTCACCTTCTCCTCCTCTTCCTTCACCTTCTCCTCCTCCTTCTCATTCTCCTCATTCACTTTCTCCCCCTCCTTCTTCTCCTCCTCTCCTCCTTCACCTTCTCCTTCTCCTCCTTCACCTTCTCCCCCTCCTTCTTCTCCTTCCCCTCCTTCACCTTCTCCTTCTCCTCCTTCACCTTCTCCTTCTCCTCCAACCTTCACCTTCTCCCTCCTTCACCTTCTCCTTCTCCTCCTTCACCTTCACCTTCTCCTTCTCTCCTTCTTCTCTCCTTCTCCTCCTTCTTCTCCTCCTTCTCCTTCTTCCTCATACATGTTATGAGAGATATATGTACCCCTGAGGTAAAGGGGTAAAGGGATAATACTGTATTTCTTTGAAGTGGCCTATTGGTTTTCCAGTCAGTCTTTCTACTTTTGAGGTCCCAATCCCCAGAAGTGGGATGTCCTGTGTCCTATAGTATAGACCTACCTAGTGTGTATGAGTGGATGAATGGACGGCCAAGGAATGAAGGAATGAGAGGGGTGTTTGGGACCACTGACTGGCAGGACCTACACAGATATGATTTGGACCTTTTCCTTTCTTTGAGGCTTCTGATGAAGGTTGTTGGACATTTGAACAGTCAATGTGTTTAAGTTGAAAAGCTCATCTATCTGAAGTTCTTGGGTTAAATGGTTCCACCCTAGACCCAAGACAAGGGCACACTTGGGAAGGTTGCGGTAAAATCTGTGTTACAATAGGTCGAATACTTAGTGAAGACATTGTCCTAGAACCAGCAAAAATGAATGTTATTGAATGTGAAGTTCCCATAGCCAAGGCTGCAGATCTGGTGGTCCTTCATGACAACAGACAGAAATCCAGTTCATAGCGTACACTTGGAGAGATTTCAGGGTTGGCCATGGGGATAACAGAGATCAGTCTGTATGTTACAGGGATGGATGGAGTCAGGTTCTTCTAATCAGAGGTGTTGGATCCTGCTTCGGGATTGGAAGGCGTGGCTATGGGAGACCTGAATACTATGGATTTGC